GTGTGCTAGGGGCTGGAAATTTCAGAGAGCTGACTTAGAATTCTCAGTTACATAACCCATTTGTTCTATATTTTCAGCGATACTTGGTATGTCAGTTCCTCCCACTTTCCAAATTTTCCTCAGTTGATGTTGAAATGACTGAGAGTTGCACTTGATTGTAGTGTTTGCACATTTGGTTGTGGTGCTTTCTGGGGATTGCATGGTTTAAGTCACATTTCTTGCATACTCGGCCATAGGTCACACCCTTTGGTTGTGATAGTTTATTGCACATTCTGTAGTGCTTACTGGGGGTGGAAGGGTCGACACTTTTTGGTATATGTGATGCTTATGCTCATCAGGGAGTTATATAACTGGTTGTAGTGCAACTGGAAATGACTTTGGCATGAGAGATTGCAAGGCAGCTGGGCTGCCAGGCTTGTGTTTGGTGCAGATGGGCATCATCAGGGATTGAACTAGAGGTCTCGTATGTATAAGACAGGCACTATCATCACTGAGCCAACCACTTTACATACAGCCCCTTAGTTTTAGCCAGTAGTTGCAAGTATAGTTGTATTTGATTGTAATTTTAAATTTTCTCTAGTGCCTAAATGATCTAAAACATCATTTCCTGTACTTATTTGCTATGTATGTATCATTTAAGATGTATGTATATGTGTACATCCACAATCATGTCATCTAAGAGAAAAGGCAGTTTAATTCCCCTTTCTAATTCATATGCCTTTATTTTTTTCTCTCGCCTTACTGCACTGGTGCAGATATCTTTATTTTGTTTCTGATCTTCTTTGAGAGAAGTCAGGCATTCAGTCTTCTGACTTAATTTAGTTTGGTGTTTATAGATGTGACTTTTGTAGATAAAAATCTTACATGGCTTGAGGATAACCCTTAGTTTATCATGTGTAATTTGTCAGATGCTCTTATTTTATCTGTTGAGATGATCATGTGGTGTTTTTTCCTTTGTTAATGCTGTGAATCAAGTGGTTTTGAAAAAGAAATCTATCTTGCGTTGTTGAGATAATCCTCAGTTGGTCACTGTATTCTTTAATTTTTTTCCCCTTGGCTTCAGTGAGCTCCAAGTGTTAAGAAATTTTTGCGTGCATGGTCATGAAGAAAAATTTGGTTGTATGGTTTTCTTTTTTGTAACATCTTTGAGTTTGTCATCAGGGTAATGCACCTGATTGTATAAAATTAGCTGAGAACTATTTCTGCAGTTTTTTGAAAGGACTCTTGGGGTTACAAAATTGGAGTATCAGGATAGATGAACCATGTGAAGCCTGATGATCTGTAGAGTTTTCCCTCACTTCCTTTTCCTTTGTTATTGCTGTGTTTGGATTTGAACACTTTTTTTTTTCTCCCCAGTGTGAAGGTTTTTAAACTATAGCTATTCTATTTTAACAACTTTAGAGCGATGCAACTTCTCTACATGAGTCAGTTTTGAGTAGGTTCTTTCAAGGAACTTGTGTTTTCATCTAACTTTGTAAAACCTCTGTTCTTACTATCACTGTCCATTGTTCAAAATATTCTTTTACATTTATTTTAGGTTTTGTAGTGATTTACCTGAATGTTTATTGACTTTTTTTAAAAAAAAACTTTTTTTCCTCTCCCACCCCCATTCTTCATTCTATTTAGTTTCTGCCTGTTTCCCCCTTCTCTCATGCATTGGGTTTGATTTCTTTTTTTTAGTGTCAGAATGCAGACCCAGGCCTCACACACAAGAGGCATGTATTCTGCTGCTGAACCATTTTTCTAAGTACCTGCTTTCTACTTTTTAAACCACAAATCACTGAAGCAGTTTCCTTTAAATATTGCGTAGTTGCATCCCTTAAATTTTGCTAAGGTCTGTTTTCTCTCTACTCTAATTTCTAGTTACTAACATGATTTTCTATAGCTCATGGGTTATTTAGAATTGTGTTGCTTCATTCCCCAAATATTTTTTTCCAAATGTACCTTTCCAACTTAATTGCATTGTAATGAGAGAATATATGACTCATTGAACCTGCCACTGAAGTTGTTGGCTATTATACTACCAAAGTCATCCCCTCTCTCCTTTCCTTCCCCAGCTTCTTCTCTCTGGTATTCATATTTTTCAAAGTCTAAGTCTTGTTTCTTTTTTTAGGAAATCAGGTATGTAATTTATGGTAAAAATTTTTGAGGAACGAGGGATGTGACTTGTAAAAATGAGTTCAAACCTTGACTCTGCATGGTTCCCCAAGCACTGCCATGAGTGACCCTGGTGGCCCTCACGCATCACTGATGTCACTCCCACAGCAGTAACAACTTAAAAGAAATCCCTCATAAAGAACGTTTTCAAAATTTGGGCAGGATAAGAGAAACGATATAAATTCTGTTGATCATTGCTATGTGGATGGAACTGGAGAACTGGAGGGTATAATGCTGAGTAAAGTGAGTCTAAAGGACAAAGATCAAATTATCTCTCATGTGGAAATCACTATCACTGTCCTCCCATTGTTCATTGATTTTCTCAAGTGGGCACCAGTAAGAGCTCCATTGTGAAACTTGTTACTGTTTTTGGCATATCGAATACGTCGCAGGTAGCTTGCCAGGTTTTGCCGTGTGGGCAGAATACTCTCAGTAGCTTGCTAGGCTCTCCAAGAAGGACAGAGGAGTCGAACCCGGCTTGACCACGTGCAAGGCAAACACCCTACCCACTATGCTATCGCTCCAGCCCATTTGTGGAAATAAAGAATAACAATAAAGGAATAAAATATTCCCAATGATAACAGACCCTGAGTTGACCTATAGAACTGAATTTGCTAGGGGACGTCGGGGGTCTGGTGCAGTGGGTAAGCAGGAACCTAGCCAGTGGCAGAGGGCTCCCAATACTCGGGTGGTTGTGGTAGAGCAGTGCTTGTTTGCCTGAAACATGGCTATTAACAGTATTGCAGATCATAGTGTCTAAATTTAAGTAATAGATTAAACAAAATTTAGATATAAAAGAATATAAAAGATTAAAAGTTAGGGATTTTAAGGTCAGTAAAGAGGCAAAAATCCCAGACCATCATCTCTCCCTATAAGTAAAGAATCTCAAGTTATGTTGCTTGCTATTTCTTTTGTCTTAACTTTAATGTATATTTGATATTTCAAGCGACCTAAAATTAACCAGTTTTGGAAAATTCTCTCAATAGTTTGCAAGGAGAAGATGGTAATGTGACAAAAATTAAGAATATTAGAACTGATTCAGTTTACATAGAATCAGAGATACATTTTGGAGTTTAAAAGTCAGCCTGATGACTGAAAATGGTTTTTTACACTGTTCAGTGATTTCTTAAGATGGAGTATATTCAAATATTAATATTAATCCTTCGGTACACCTACTGCTAGACATGGTCAGTTGTAGATAAACAGAATATAAGAATGTTTGGTAAACTAAGTTTTTATTACCTTAGATTCTTTGTTGTTTTTTGTTTTGGGGGCCACACCTGGCAGTGCTCAGGGGTTACGCTTGGCTCTACACTTAGTAATTACTCTGGGCAGTTCTTAGGGGACATATGGGGTAGTGGGGACTGAATCCAGGTCTGCCTTGTGCAAGGCAGACCCCCAACTCACTGCATTATCGCTCCAGTCCTCTATTACCTTAAATTCAATGAACCTCTTGAAAGATGAATACATACTTTCTCATGTGATTGTTATACTTGGAATTTTTATTGTTCTAGTTTTAGAACTGCTTCTATTACTAGTCAAATGATGTGATTTTCCGTTTATGTGCAGAAAATCTACTGGGGCAGAATCTCTTGTACTGTCCAGTGCAACCCCCAAATATTGATCGGCTTTGGACAAGGTTTATAGGTTTTTTAAAAGAATACTTTTTTTTTCCCCTTTATTGTATTTTATTTTTTTTTAAAGTTGTAGATTTACAATTTTTTGTGCTTTGGTTTCAATTATACAATGATCAGATACCCATCCCTCCACCAGTGCCCATTTTCCACCACCATGGATAATATCCCTCCCACCCCCATTCCCCCATCCCCCCTGTCTCCGTGGCAGGGCAATCCCCTGTGTTCTCTCTCTCCTAAAAGAATACTTTTAACTTAGTGTCTGATGAGAGTTTTCAAGAAAAGAAAAAAAAAATTAGACATATACATTGGATTCACCTTTTCGTTTTTTTTTTTTAGACTGAAGTACATGATATAGGCTTTTGGTGTGCATTATTGAAAATCAATATATTTCTCTTTATCTTGGTTTATGCCCCATCTCAGTAGCCTTTCCTTCCTTTTTAGTAACCTCTAATTAGTTTATCGAAATGTTCATTATTGAGTTTATCTGTTTTCTCTGTTATCACTTACACAATAACCTTGAGGTCAATAATTTTCAACTGGAGGCCAGGTGGTCCTCTCTGGGCTGAGGATATTCTAAGGGGACCCGCCTCTTAGAATCACTTATTAATGGTCCATGACTTGAGACTAGGGATTGAGCTAGTAGGACAGTAACTCCTCTAGAAGGAAACAAGATTGGAAGAGGACCATGGTCAGAAAATGGTTGAGAAAAACTGCTCTAGGTCATCTTCCTGTGAATATTTCTGTTTCTGGTTCACGCAGGTATACATAGTGATGGGTTTTTGTTTCTTTCTATTAACAACTTTACAGTCTCAGAAAACTTTTGAATACATGGCAGGAAAAGCATTAAACATTCTAAATTCTACCCCCAAATGATTGACCTAGCAAGGCAAGCTAGAGCATTGACAGTCTTCAGTGTGTTAACATTTGGTATAAAACATTTTGAAGTTACTAAAAATATTTAAAATAAATGTTAATAAAATGCTTGTTTTTTTCTGAGTTCAAAGTGGCAGAGCCACAGCCCAGATCCTTTTGATTCAAGAGCTCATTAAATCATACTGTATACTTTAAAATTTATATAGAGATACTCGTTTATGGCTTATTTACATATGTTTCGTGACTTAAAATGTCTATAGTTTTAAAGAAACTTGTGCCTGTTTTGTGACTAATTTTTTTCTTTCTTTCTTTCTTTTTTTTTTTTTTTACCAGGGAAATGAGGCAAGTTACCCTTTGGAAATGTGCTCGCACTGTAAGTCAAATACTCTTTTTATCAAGAATTTATGTATGTACCTGTCTATATCTGGATCTGTAGGGCAAGTAGATCTTAGCTGCCTAAGTGGTGAATTTGACTTCTGGTCAGATTAACATGTTGACATCAGTGCTTCAGTTTATGTTAAATAAATGACATTCAAGTGTGAGCCATCAGTGGTACACGCCAGAATCTACATACTAAGTTTTTCGAGTAGGGAACAGTTTTAATAAGCCTTTTTATTATTAGTGCCCTCACCATGACTTTAATATATCTTCTTTTATAGTGACTATAATCCATTAGTTCTTTAGGTTTGCAAAGTTTTAAGTAAATGGTGAACTTACCTTATTAAAGTTTCTGTTGAAGGTACAGCCTGGTAGACAAAGCAGCTACTTGCAGAAGATTTACTGAGAATAACGAGCATAGAAATGTGCACTGACTGGCTATTTTTGACTATACTGGGGAATGTAAAAAAATAGTGTAAGGAACAGGATATAGGAGCTTAAAAAATCATAAGGTCTCTTCTGTGGAAAGGCAATAACTGAGAAAGAGAGGTCCCTAGAATTAGAATGGAAACTTTTAGGAAGTTTCTGTAGTGCCTTAAAGTGTCAGAACTCCTAGATTGTTTTGAATTTTCCTTGCTGCTTCCATCCGTGTTTGATGATGCTGGATCAGCCTTACCATGTAGTTGAGGTGTCTCTTCCTCATTATCATACTGTTTCCTCCCCAAAACAATTGTTTCATTTCTTCCGTTCTCAGTACTTTCATTCTAAGTGGTACCTTACTTTATTATCAGCTCTAAGTTGACTGAATTTTTTGCAACTTTCAACTTGTCAGCATAAGTGTTGTTTTCTGTAATTCATTCTCTTTAGATTCTCCAGAATTCACTTTTGGGTTGTACCCTCTTTATGCACTTTAATCGGAGTTACCATAAGCTGAAATTATTTGTTAATTAATCCATTTACCTTTCATTTAAACTTCTACAATTTTTAACCTTTTTTTTTTATAAAGATAACTTATGACCATATGCACTTCATGATCAATTCCTATAAAACTGCTGTCCAGTCACTTTTTTTGTAACTGTGTATTATAGGATTTTTCCTTTAGGAATTATGTATCTAGTTACCATATGTATGTGTTTGTTTTCTATTTTAAACATAAAGATAAAATTACTTTCAGAATATTGTGAGAATTGAGTAAAACCAAACCTAATTATGACTCTGAAGACAGGCATTTTCAACTGCTGCCTGACAGTCTTTTTTATTATTCACACAATGTTTATGGCTATTTTGGTGTTAGGAGTTGAGTAGTTGAAATAGATCCATAAAATCTAAAATACTTTCTCTCAGATCTGTTAGAGAAAAAGTTGGTTGAACTTCGTTTGAGAAATTGTTTTTTGTGGAGGCTAGAGTATAGTGGGTAGGGACTTGCCTTACACGCAGCCAACCGAGGCTCAATCCCCAGCATCCCACCACGAGTACCCAGGAGTATTTCCTGAGTGCAGAGAAGGAGTAACCTCTGAGCAGTGCAGGGTGTGGTCTCTCCATTTCCCCCCCTGATTTTGAAAGCTATTTGTCACTTTCTAAAATGTCACTATCTTTTAAACACAGTAAAATAATTATTATTTTATAGATTCTGACCCTGAATATTATGTAGATCCTAGCTGCTCTTTGGTGGGGCAGGGGATTTGGGGTCACACCTAGTGGTGTTTAGGACTGACTTAACTCCTTGCATGGCATGTGCGAGTCGCTAGGCCTTGAGTTCAATCTCCAACACTACATGGTCCCCTAGGTACTGGTAAGTGTAACCTTGGTTAGTCTTGAGTACTGCTGGGAATGTCCCTCACACACACAAAATTTAAATAGAAATGTGTGGTCTGTATTCAGAATAAATTTCATATGCTTTTAAAACAGCCCTTTTTAGCTTTATCCTCAGAATTAGGTAAGTGGTTTTAGAATTTCATCTATGCTTTGATGAAACTTAAACCTTGTCATTAAATATTTGTACTTGTCAGTGGTGGGTCAGGTGTGAAGTGTTACTATCTAGTATATTTTCTATTTTTTTTACTGACATGCAACTTTTATCCTATTTTATACATGATTTTGATGAATTTTCCTCAAATGATGTCTGCTGATGTTCTATGCACATGTTATAGTAAAAGTTATTTTGCTTATTTACAAATTCTCTTCTTTATAGGAAGGGTTTATTGTTATTTGTAAGCAAGTATCACACAGAAAACTATTAAAACCTTCCCTTCTCATTTCTTCAAGATCCAGCTCAACTTTACCATTCTAGAATCACTCCCAGCCTTTTGTGGTTCTCTCACCTCAAGTAATTTAGTATTTAAATTGAATCACTTTTAGCAAAGGAAAATAAATTCTAAATTATATGTTGTAAAGTACTGGTTTTGGCTTTGTGGCAGTTAACATCCATACAGTACATACAGCTTGGCTTCTGGTGTAAAGGGAAATGTGTAAGTGCATGTTACTGTTCACTGTTTATCAAGTGAAATTATTTTAGGTCATTGTGACTTTTTTTTCCCTGTCAGGTGAACTTTTGTGGACTAGGAAACCTATAACCTGTTGGGAAGATTTGTTCAATGTTGAGTTCTTAAGTTGCAACTGGGCATGATAACTTGGAAAACTTACTTCAATACAAAATGTTTACAGATAGTTTAAGCAGAAGATGAGATTGGGATGATGTTTCAAAGTATGAGTAGATAATCAGTTTGATTATCTACAGTCCGTTACTGTTGACAAAACCAGTATAATTATAAATAATTTTGATAATATTCTTTAATTCTTATATTTTCTAGATTGAATATAGATGAGACTATTAAGTCTTTCATCTAAAAAATATTTTTTTCCTTTCCTTAGAATTTGACCCAAGAAAAACTTGGCATATTCTAAAGAAATAGTGACCTATATTGTAAAAAACCTGAAGACTGCTTAGCCATTAAAATACTATTCTAACTTTAAGTGGTTTCACAGAAGCAGTTTTCTTTATAGTTTGAATATTAAGATTTTTACTTTGTACTGTTAATTTTCTCAAGGGAGGCTTACAAATGTGCTTATGTTTTTTAATTGAGACTAGGGTTTTTCTTTAATTTGAAAACAAAATTCAGAGAAAAAGTTATTTTGTGATTTTTTTTTGGTCTAAAATTATTGTGGTTTTTTTTTTCTTCTTTTTGGGTCATACCTGGCATTGCACAGGGGTACTCCTGGTTCTTCACTAAGGAATTACTCCTGGTGGTGCTCAGGGAACCATATGGGATGCTGAGAATCTAACCCGGGTTGTTCGCGTGCAAGGCAAATGCCCTATCCACTGTGCTATTGCTCCAGCCCAAATTATTATTATTTTTCATAGATAAGTAAACTACAAAATACAAAGTAATGTGTGCAAAGTAAAAATAAGGGGTTAGAGAGATAGTACAGTTGATAGGGCACCCACCTTGCATGCAGGTGACCCAGGTACAATAACCGACATCAGATATAGTCCCATGAGCTTAATCAGGAATGATCTCTGAGAGCCATCAGGTGTAGCTCCCAAACCAAAAATAAATTAAAATAGGGGGCTGAAGAGATATTACAGGAGGCAGGGCACTTGCTTTGTATCCTTTGCACCCAGATGGTCCCCTGAGCCCAGTAGTGTATCATGGTGCAGAGAAAGCCTTGAGCACCTCTGGAACCAGGGAGATAATATAGTGGGTAGGGTATTTACCTTGTACATGGCCTTGTTCAGTCCCTGGCACCCCAGATGGTCCCCTGAACTTGCTGGGAGTAAATCCAGAGTGCAGAGCCAGCAGGAAACCCTGAGCACCACCGGGTGTGGCCTAAAATCCAAAACCAAAATCAAACCCAAAAAAGTAAAATACTAATTCCTTTTTCCTTATCCATACTTTAAAAATTTGATACTGTGGAAGCTCTTATAAATTTGTAGCTTTAGCAGTGAGGATAAATTTCATGACATGCATTAATTTTCCTAGCACAGATATGAACAATTATTAATATGTAGAAGTTGATTATTTTAGCTGATAAGAAAGCAAGATTATACATTTTAATCTCAAAAAAATAAGGGAAAATATGCAAATAAAGGAGACTTGGAGAATAAATATGGGAATAAAGTAGCAATTTTCTGAAAGAATATCAAGAGATGCTTTAGAGAAGAGGGAAGCAAAAAAATAATTAGTGAATTAAATGGAGAAAAAAATTTCCCCTGGTCTGAAAAATTTAATCTTTTAAATGAAAGAGCATTCTGAAGGCAGCTAGGTAGGCCAGATAAAAAAATAGTACATTTTGTCCTTTGTAATGTTAGACTTTCAAGAATTAAAAAAAAAATCCTTTAAGCTATTATACAGTAGAAAATGTTCCCTAAAAAGCACAGAAATCTACTGATAATAGCAGTAGATAGTAGAAAGTAACAGAATTATTAATTCAAAGTGCTGATTGCTTAAATGCAGAATTTGATACTAGTCAAATAATTACCAAGGTGTGAGTTGAAATTATTGATATTCCCAGGAAAATTAAAACTTGGGAGTCTTACCTTTCTTACGGTGTTTAATGTGAACCTCAAAAATAAAAAATAAATTTTAAGAAGATGAGGAAATAACAGTGAAAGATGAAGATATAACAGTGAAAATCCCAGGATAACAACTGTTCCTTGGATTTATTAAACTTTAAATGAGAACAAGAATGTCTTAAGAGTGTTTAAACGAAAAAAATTCAGAGCAGCTTATTGAATAGTATATTGAAATAAAGTTAAAAAAAAAAAAGCAAGTCAACCAGAAAAGCAAAGAAGGCAGAGCCCAGAGACACAGAATGACATTTGTGGTGATAAAACCAGATTGAGTTCTGGAGCAGCCATAAATAAGACTTGAATAATTGGTACTCCAAGCGAAAGAAGACTTCTGAATATTCATTTTGTTGAAAATGCTCCATTTTCCCCACAGTTGGGGATCAGGAGTGGTACAAAGCTAAAGAAAATTGCCTGTTTAAATGTAA